ACTCAGTGATGGGGCTGGAGAGCAGGCAGTGCTGGGTAGCTTGGGAACACTCCCAGACATCTGTCCATGCTCCATGGTGGGTTATTCAAACTACAGACAAAATCTGACATTCCACCTGAGATCAGTGTTAAAACCCCACTGCCGTGAATCAGGATTTCTCCATTGCTCCCATTTTTTAGGAGAGTTACCCCATAGAGAATAACCAGAACAAATAATCATTAAGCGGTCCCTTCTCTATCACCTCTTCTCAGCCTCTGACCAAGAGAAGCTAGGGACACTATTACTATCCCACCTGGCTAATAGCCATTGATAGATCTATCCTCCATGAATGTATCTAGTTCTTTTTTTGAACCCGGTTAAAGTGGTGCCATGTGCCCACACTATATCAGTGACTAGTTACCATACCCCATCACATTTATTTGCTCCGGGAAATGTCATCAGCAAATGCATTTTCAAAAACTGTATTCTCTGTCTCCATTGTAAACACAGGATTTGAGAGCGATGTTTTCTAGTAACAGATCCAATAAGCTATATTTTTTGTTTCCTCACCAAGGACTCTAGAATTTCTGCCCTGTAGATTTCCCTCACAGTTACAGTGCTACCGGCATCTCTGCTCCCTCTCTTGTCTCTCAGTACCATGTCAGGCTCGGTAACCTTCCATCACGTGGGACGGAATCCCATAACTTTCCCACCCTCAGGGTTCCGCTCCTGTGGTTCTTCCCTTTGGGAGTCTGTGAGTAGCAGTGAGAAGAGAGACCAGCCCCCCTTCTTCAACATAAATACTGTTTAATCTGAACTGTAGGAAGAAAGTGTAACATGGGGAATAAGAGGGTTTTCCAAACAACAGTCCGTCCACGTCTCTGACCCCAGCCCCATACTCTGACAGGGACCCAGGCAGACTGGGGGCCTTCAGACTTCCCCAGTCATGTCTGCACCTGTCAGTCTGAAGAGCTTCTCAGCAACAGCTGCCCCACCTCTGGAGAGACTCCCAGGGCTGATAGAACAAGCTGGGTAACGTGGCTGGACAGTGGAAACAGGATTTGCCCAGCTTGTAGCTCCGGTCTGATCCTCTCAACCTGCCTAAAGTGCTCACTGAGAAATGTTTTTTCTTCAGCTGCTGCTTCCCTTCCTGCTTGTTTCATCCAATGTAGCCATAATACCAGCATACTGATAGTTAACCCAGCACAGCCAGTATCCCAAGAACTGTGCTCCATGTCTATTCAGTGCTTTTTCCTGGGGGTATGGCTTTTGTGCATACAGGAGATAGAGAACTGTAGATTACTTTCACATGGGAAATGAATGTCCTCATGCATTTGACTTTGAAATCCATTTTCAACAAATGCTTTCTGCGGCTGAAGAATATGTGCCATTCAGAATGTATGAGTGCTCCACAAATGGAGAACGTGTGAAATCCACAGTATTAGAGACTGAGAGCCAAGAGGAGGAATCTTTAGTATCCTGATCCTGATGCCAATCTGATTACAGAACAGAACCTAAGGAGAACCAATCAGCTGTTAACCCAGGGACCGAGGAGCTACACAGACTTTTGTTCGCTCACAAGTGGTTGAATGGTGGTTATTATGCTGTGATCTTTTCAGGTTCTGAGGAAATCAAGGTAACACATGCTACCTGAGAAATCATGGAATCATCGAACTGGAAGGGACCTCGAGAGGTCATCAATCCAGTCCCTTGCCCTCACGGCGGGCCACGCACCATCTAGATCATCCCTGATAGATGTCTATCCACCCTGCTCTTAAATATCTCCAGTGATGGAGATTCCACAACTTCCCTAGGCAACTTATTCCCATTCTTAAATACCCTGACTGTTGGGAAGTTTTTCCTAATGTCCAAAATAAACCTCCCTTGCTGCAATTTAAACCCACTGCATCTTGTCCTATCATCAGAGGACAAGGAGAACATTTTTTTCTCTCTCCTCCTTGTCACACCCTTTTAGCTACTAGAAAGCTGTTATCATGCCCCCTTTCAGTCTTCTCTTTTCTAAACTAAACAAACACAGTTATTTCAGTTTTCCCTCATAGGCCATGTTTTCTAGACCTTGAATCATTTTTGTTGCTCTTCTCTGGACCTTCTCCAGTATCTCCACAGCTTTCTTGAAATGAGGTGGCCAGAACTGATACAATATTTCAGTTGAGTCCTAATCAGTTCAGAGTAGAATGGAAGAATGACTTCTCGTGTTTGCTTATAATACTCCTATTAATGCATCCTAGAATCATGTTTGTTTTTTTAAGTTTTTTTTTCAAATGCTACACTGTTGACTCATATTTAGATTGTGGTCTACTATGACTCCTAGATACCTTTCTACAGTTCTCCTTCTTAGACAGTCACTTCACATTTTGTAGGTATGAAACTGATTGTTCCTCTCTAAGTGGATAACTTTGTATTTGTCCTTATTGAACTTTATCCTATTTACCACAGACCTTTTCTCCAGTTTGTCTAGATAATTTTCAATTATAACCCTGTTGTCCAAAGCACTTGCAACCCTTCCCACCTTGCCCAAGGAGGTTGTGGAATCCCCATCTCTGGAGATATTTAAGAATAGGTTAGATACATGTCTACTAAGGAAGGTCTAGACAGTATTTGGTCCTGCCATGAGGGCAGGGGACTGGACTCGATGACCTCTCAAGGTCCCTTTCAGTCCTAGTATTCTATGATTCTATGATTCTATATCACCCACAAAAATAATAAGCATACTCTCTATGCCATTATCTAAATAGTTGATGAAGATATTGAACAGAACCCATCCCAAAACTAATCCTTGCAGAGAACCTTCAAGCATGATTATGAATCATTAATAATTACTTCTGTGAATGGTTATCCAACCAGTTATGCACCCACATTAGAATAGCCCCAACTATGTTGTATTTCCCTAGTTTATTGATAGCAACATCATGTAAGATTGTATCAAATGCTTTACTAAAGCCTAGGTATACTGTGTCTACTGCTTCCCCCTTATCCACAAAGCTTGTTATCCGATCAAAAAAAGTTATGATGTTGGATTGACATGATTTGTTCTTTACAAATCCATGCTGCTTGTTACTTGTCACCTTATTCTCTTCCAGATGCTAGCAGATGGATTCCTTAATTATTTGCTTCATCGTCTGTAAAAGGAGATCAGAAAGGAAAGATTGGGTTGATATGTGTGTGTTACATGATATATGTACTCATCACCTGTTGCTCATTCCCAACTTCTGACAGAGACCCCATACTTTTTCCTATCTGGCTCTGTGCATCGAACGTGAAGCATTTCAGAGAGTGCTAGCAAAGAAGTCCTGCACTTCGGTCTCTGACGTAACACTCGATCCCTCTGTAATTCCTGTGCAAGACTTTGCACAAGGTCATGAGAGCTCAGAACAACTGCAAAGAATTGAGCTGAGGCTCAGGAAAGGGGAGAGTAATAGCAGGTGTATGTAATTTATTCCCATGACTTCTTACATAATAATGGCTGACTTAACTCACACATCCAGGTGGATATAAGTGCAACACTAGTATTTGCACTATTCACCCATTTGTGAAACCAACCCCACCCCTGCCCAGCTGAAGTAATTTTCTGTGATCGCTTCTGACTTGCCAGATATCTACAGATTCTTGTGTGGGGAGAAGATGCAGGTCCTTTGAGAATGAAGAGATGCCTGTATAAGTATTCATGTCTCTGAATTCAGTCAATACTGGCCAGGAAAAGCACCTCAGCTTTTCTTAGAGGGATTGTTGGGGGTTGAATGTATCACCGGGAACAAGTGGAAAGGGAAAATGAATAGAGTATGAGTCGGATCTGATTTGCCCATGAAAATCTCGAGTGCTATCATTGAAATCACTGTTACTGAAATCAGAACCTGGCCCCAAGAGTGAGTGAATAAAGCACATTTATAAATAGCTTCTATGCCTGACGGGTAAATATAATGACCAGGCATGCCCCATGTTCAGAAGTCCAGAAAGGGTGTCTGTGGGAAGATCACATGTGGGAAGATCACAATGGGCTCAAGAGATGTGTCTAAACTACATGGCTCCATCAATGAAGCCATGTAGATTAGGCTGATCGGCAGAGGGAAATGAAGCCGCAATTTAAATAATTGCGGCTTCATTTAAATTTAAATGGCTGCTGCGCTGAGCCGACAAACAGCTGATCAGCTGTTTGTCGGCTCAGCACACTAGTCTGGACGCTCCCGCGCC